GCGCCTCGCTCAGCCAGTGACTGACCTTAATTTTCAACAACTTTTTCTGCATGGCTGATGAGTCTCCAGACATATCTGACCACCGGTGAAGTTCTTCCTTTGCTGAATGGAGCCAATCTGTGAATTCCTGGACTGCATCTAAGTACATTAGATGGTCTTTCACAATCTCTTCTGCTTTCCTCATTTTCTCCTAATAAACAAAGAAAAAGCTACATTAACAGTAGTCGTCACTGAGAACATGAAATCAGATAAGACAATAGGCCTGATTTAGGTCTCTTAATGTATCTCAAAGGATTTCATTCTTAATCTTGAATTTTCTCTGAGTTTAATATCTTTAAAAGAAACTATCACATCTTAATTACATTGAAAGACTGAGGAGCAACCACTTTTTCTATAAGTTTGCTATTGACTAGCTCAGCAGAAAGATCTATGCTTAATGAATGCTGGCTAACATCCCTCACTAACAACCCACTTAATAATAATTATTGTAATGACTATTGTCATTATTCAAGCAATTATCTGTGTTAACTTGGTGTGCAGCATTCTGCTCAGCACCTGAAATGTGTTTGGCCATTTGATCCTCACAAGAGCCCTGTGACGTACATACGATCCTTATCACCATTTTACAGGAACCGACACTCAAGCTTACAGAGGTTAAGTAATGTGCCCAAAGTCACACATGCAAAAAGTGTCAAAGCCAGAACTCAAACTTAGGTCTTTTTGACTCCAGAGTTGTAGCTCTTAATCATTGCTGAGATAAAAATGAAGATAAACAAACACGAATGTTAATAATTGTAATATCATTTAGACAATGAGAGTTCCCAAAAAGCAAACCAAAGAAAGAAAGCAAACAAAATTCTCTCTCAATTTCTATAATGTTCACAAATATCCAAAAGAAAAATGATGGAGCAAAATAAAGATTCACATATGGAATTGAAAAGGTTTTTTTTTTGTATTTTTGTGACCGGTAAGGGGATCACAACACTTGGTGTGGTGTTGCCCACCACAAATATCCAAAAGAAAAATGATGGAGCAAAATAAAGATTCACATATGGAATTGAAAAGGGTTTTTTTTTGTCTTTTTGTGACCGGTAAGGGGATCACAACACTTGGTGTGGTGTTGCCCACACCACGCTCAATCAGTGAGCACACCAGCCAGTCCTATATAGGATCCGAACCTGTGGCGGGAGCGTCGCGGCGCTCCCAGCGCCGCACTCTCCCGAGTGCGCCACGGGGCTGGCCCGAAAAGGTTTTTTTGATATTACATAAAGAAGGCTATACTTGGGAGAATAGAAAAATGCAGTTTTTACTAAGATGAGAAATGAACACCATACTTTGTACAAAATTGAAATCTGGGAGGCAAATACACTTGTATTTAATATAACAAATATAAGTGTATAAAAAGAAAAAGGTCTTTAAACACTGACAATTGATGCTCACACAATTTTACAAAGAAGTTAGGTGAGTTGACTAACAAAGTGGAGAAAGGTGAAAGATATGGAATAAAGAATAATCCCAAAATTGCAGAAAGAGAAAACTACATGAGCATTCACAGGTGAGAAATGATCTTTATGTAATATCTAGTCACCAAACGTACAAGTAGATTTAGAGCAGCCAATTCTCCAATAATTTAACCCACAGTATATTCTTTACCTGAGCCTTGAAGCTTTTTCTTTGATACAAAGCACTGACCTTGGCAACAGTTGTTATATCATTAAACTGTGTCTTCAGCTCCTCTTGAACTATTTCCTTGAAAGACTCGTCCCCAGTCTTCTCATAGAGCTCCCTGGACTTTGCAGTTAGGAGGTGAAGGGCTCCGGCATGATCTTCTGCCTCAGACACAATAGACTGAAAGTGGTCCAACAGGGAAAACTTCTCTTTCAGACCTGGCTGCACTTGTAAGGGATGTTCCACTGTTTGATCCACTGATTCCATCCACTGCTCCAACTGGTTTTTCCTCTCTAGATAGTCGTTCCATTGGCTAATCACAGACTCTAAAGTGCTAGAATTAATGTCACATTATCAAAATGAGTTATCTTGATATCATTACTGCAAACCTATTACAAATGACAAGGTCATTACATCCATGTAAATTATTTTACTGAATGCTACTGTAGGTGATGAAAATGTTGCTTTGGAGTGCAGGGAGAAACACTACTTCTCTGATCCACAAGATCCATAACACAGTTCCTTCAAACCAAGTAAATCTATGTTAAAATTTGAAGTAAGAAGCTGTAGTCATACATACATCTGGAGATTTGTCCTCAGTGAACAGACACATTTATGTGTTATGTTGTTAAAAATCAGTACTAGGACAACAATTAGATTTTATTTAGTATATATCAGTTCTTAATTTTCTTGGGGATAGTTTATCTAATTAAAATCAGAAGGTAATTATTTGCTGACTGGAATTTACAAGGTATCTTCCTGTGTAA